CCAAAGACAAAATATATGTCCTTAATTCTATAGAATATTCTGTATATAGAATAGGATTTAGTTCGGGGCTATGCATGTGATATGTAACTAGATCTCTTGTTATTACACTTTGGCTGACTCTTTTCGTGAATAAATGTTGGATGAAAGGATTCGTGGGTCGATCTCGCCGGAAGGCGATGGCTGAGCTCTTCAACATTCAACCTGTGCCGTCCAGGTTGACGTGGTCTGCGAGCTATCTATTTGCCCACGCATAGTTAATGTAATGGTTGACTTCGGTTGTCGTCTATATGCTTTCGTTTACCATATCTTCATGATGCTCCTTATAGTGTATTTTGGCTTTGTGCCCCCTTATAATAATGTCCTGCAAGCAAACTGTTCTATTTTTAGCCTTGGTCCATGGACCTTAACTCAACTTGCAGACCCGGCTTTCACCTTCTGCCAAACTCATCTACTAGGCACTCTTAGACGCTCGTGCTCATCTCTTTTATGTATCTGACCTTTTGGTGACCTTCAGTCTCATTTCTTTCCAGCTGGCTACCTTAGCTGCGAGAGTTACTCAAAAGATTTAATTTTTTGTCATAATTGGACAATCTCGAAGCCGACTTCAGGACTGTAACAGCAGAAGAGACTGGGCTACATCAGCTATTAGTTTGCATCGAATTCAAGATTTTTTATCCTTAGTATATTCTGTCACACATTACATAGACTCATTCTTTTATTCGTATAAAACTCCGAAACTTGAGTACACCACTCATGTCTTGGTGGGTTACTTGCATCGCTTTTATTATATTGTTATCCCTCTATTTATTTTCTCTTAGCACGAGGCCAGTTTGCTAGACTTCCTCTTGTCTTGTATATTCTTTTTGGTCTGGAATCCTGCCGTTTTGTGGTTGTAGGAAGTTAACCTTCCGATGTCTTTATTCCCAAAATGTTTCAGCGTTTTTATGGCACAAGTTTTACATTTTTGAATGCTCGATGCCTTTAGGTAGGGCTAATTTAGCATTAATATGATGTCTCACTGTTTTCATGCAGCTGATTTTTCTCTTATGAATTAAATTTTTATGAATATTTGCCATTTATAGGTTTACCTACCATTATAATAAAGAAATTGTTTTGTCTTCCACTACTCAACCTAGGTACTTCGTGCGCGCTCTCGTCTCACAAATAAAACTGTGCCGATTTTACTAAAAATCTCTCCTGATGAATCGGATGAGAATCTGCAAGCAATAGCCCAGGTCGCTACGGATTCTTTGGTGAGTTATCGAACCATGAAACTATAATTCGGGGGCACAAATATACCCAATAATTTGATTATTGTATTGCCATTATATCACCAATAGAGCAATATTTTTTCCAAGTTCTACATGCCTACTGTTCGGTTTGGCAGATTGTACGCTTAGGTCGCTTTTTATTCCAAGCTCCTATGCTTGGGCCTCTATCACTGAAAGGATTCTCTTTTTTCTTCTAATTTTGTCCTGGCTCATGTCCCAGAGATTTGCATCCGCTATAGATGAACTACACTTTTGATCTAGGTTGAGGATTTCGGAAAGCAAAGCGAAAGTTTGGGATATGACAAATGTACATTCTGGACTGACATTTTTAAGAAATGGCAATAAGGGGAAATTATTTGGGCAAAACTGGAGGGTTGATAGCTTGATAGGGTCCTGATATTGGTATCCTGACTTCTCTGGAAAACTTTGCTGGTAGGTGTGAAAGTATTTTATTAGGTAATGATGCTTCCTTTATATATGCTTTTTTCATAAATCTATAGCCTATTCCATCCTAAATTTTAATTTTGGGACTGTGTTTTCATTTATATACTCGAGAATGGAGCTACGCGAAATTATCTGCCAAGATATATGGATCAAGACATCGAGATTACTCCACTACGTTGTCAATTCGAGACAGCAAATATGGTGATCTCATGCTCAAGATAGGAATGAGTCTGAAAATTAAAATAAATTGTCTATGCTAAAGAGAGGATAAGAGATTTCGAGCACTAATGCGTGGTCTAGTTCTGGCTTTTAGTTGGATCTCCGAAAATCAAGACAGTACACGTATCAATTACAAAGGAATACAATGAGTTACGGGTCGTGTTTAGTGATTTCCTCACTTATTTGAATAAAAATAATTAACCAATAACTTTACGTAATGCATCACAAAGGTGCGAATTAGGCTTATGCGATTAGTCATTCTCCTTTGCTTAGTGAAGCCTGCTTATAAAGTTTTATTTCGAAACTGCTTCTTGGTTTGAGTGTCTTTCATTTCGAGACACGCGGGATATCAGCACAAATTCATTGAATCCGGAGGATTATTAGGCCTAAATCAAAAGTATTTATCACACCAAGGAAATTACATTATGCTTTAGATGCGGCCAAGCTTGAATTCTAATTAGGAAATAAAATTCCAAAAGGAATGACGTTCTAAGCGAATCTTGCTCACAGATTTTCAGTATACTTTTATCTTCTCATCTAGTCGAATCTTTTAAACATATTTGGCTCTTAAATACACTGGAAGTTAAATAATAGGATATTTGGGATCTACCTTTTAAATATGTTTAATTTCTGATAGCATGCTGAGGTCCTGCTTATCGTCCTTGACATTCTTATAGAAAAATATCCTTTATGCCCTTCTTTCTTCTCTTCTCAGAATTCTATTTGTATTCTATAGTTCACATTAGGCTTCTTCGAGTTGCTAGGCTAGAATGCGTGGAGAAACTCATTCATTTGGTCGCATTACCTTATATACTTCTACAACGTACTTTGTACTACGCACTCCGCTTTTTTTTAATAGCTTATTATTGTCCACACGTCTCCAAGGGATCTTAGTCATTAGCATCAGTGGCACGTGCTACATGAAAGGCCAAACCATATTTCATTGGGTGTCATGTCAGAGAATGCAGCGCTAATTATTATTATCTTTCAGTCAATATGGCAAATGTGTAAAATCAAGTTTATATATAGAAATATGATCATATATATCAACTAATTGCTATTATTATATGTTATATATAAATCTGGAGATAACTGATTTGATGCCAGATCATACCACCTTAGGAGCGACCTCTTTGCCTTCCCCACTACTCTTTTCTTTCTCTTATATTTATGCAAATAGACTCGTGTTGACGGCCTCATAGTCTCCAACACAGCACTCGTCTCGCAAGAAGTCGCAGAGGTCTGCGGTGCCACGGCTGGTCTGGTCCCAACAGTTGGCACCGTCTATGGTGGTATCAGTGGACCTCCTCTACGTGCTCCCTCCACAGCTTGTCTAGCCCGTTTGCACCAGCTGACCCAGGCTTCCAGGTTGCCGCTGATTGGCGTTGGGGGCGTTGACTCAGGTGAAGCCGCTGCTGAGAAACTGGCTGCTGGTGCAAGTCTGGTGCAACTTTACACCGGTATTGCTTACCATGGACTTCCGCTTGCCAGGAAGGTGGTGCGAGAATTGGCCGAACAGATATGAAATTTCCTGATCAACGATTGAGATTAAACTACAAAGAAGTTTGATGATCCTACATACGATGAAGAATAATTAATGGCATATCTAGATTGTAGCTTCAGATCATTGTTTTATCAAACTAATCAATAGCTGATACCGACTTAAGTCCTTAATGTATTATAGGCCAGAAGGTAAATCTGGGAGTTCAGAAGATTGGCGACTTATCTTCGCTTATTGGATCACATTTTTTTTATCTCTTGTGACAAACCTGTCCCTACTGGACATTCTCTGATCGTCGTTATCACTCAATTCGTCTCACTTGCTAATTAATCTATTAGCTTTTACATTTATGTGTGTACCATAAATACGAAAATATTCATATTCACCATTTGATCAAACTTCAACATGTTTTATTTCGCAATAACTCTGCCTTATTTCATTTGGTCGGTCTTTTACTTTTCTACATTGATCTCACCTGTCTTGGCATAAAGCTATTTACTCACATTTTAGCGTGCTGAAATGTACACTATATTCACTTCATTTTGAATAATTTTTCTTGTTACTCTATTTTTCCAAGTGCAACTACAATCTTATTAGATCGCTTGTATTTGTCTAGGAGCTACGACACACCCTGTAAACTTGTTTTTACAACCTTAGCTCGTTTTTGTCATTTGCTGTAGCTTTTTATGACGTTTACAGTTTACCTCCAAATGGTGGGGTCTAATTGATCACTTGCAAGCGTGGATCATTCCATATCTAATTTACCTTTACCGTTGACGTTTTAAACCAACTAATATCCTGCCTCGGTGCGGTATTTTTATATGTATTATTAATTACCGTCGATTTTATCAGCCTGATACGAGACGTTTGTATTAGGGTTGAATCGAGGACTTGTTCCTTAAGTCTTCATTCGAGGCTCACTATGAAAGTTAGTCATGCCAAATCTCATATCAGATGCATGAATTTTGGCCTTTATCAGCCAATTGGTCGTTTTGTCAGGGCGACTTATTTGGACGCATCTTGTCCGACATCCTCTGCTATAGTATCTATCAATTCCCAGCTTCCGACCATAGACTTGTTACATTCCTAGGCGTTTCGATGGTATCGTCAGTGCGTCTTGCCATTTGCAGCATCAAGCTACAACTCTTCAACCCCTTAACCGTTCTACAGATGGCTGGTCAAGGGATTGACGAGTTGTAGCTTGAAGCTGAGAATGGCAAGACTCATTAGCGATGTCAGCGAAATGTCTGGGAATGTACTAAGTTCACATTCCGACGTTGAGAATTGTGATGACTACTATAGCAGAGGACTTCGGACACGATGTGTCCAATTAACTCCCCCTGGCAACACGATTAAGTTACCAAAATGAGGTCAGATAACCTCTATATATAGAAAGGATATTGCCTCCAAAATAGAAGCCACAACATATTTGCCTTCATACCCACGTTCTAACAACCATCTTATTGAATCCAAGGCCGATCAACGACCAACGTGTTGATCTTGGAATACAAACGACCGAAGATTGGATTCGATCCGGTCTACACGCCCTTGAGTTCAAATCTCAACAGTTTGGCTATGTCTAGATGTGGATGGGTTTGGTTCAGTGAAGAGGAAGCAAAATTGAGATTATGAAGAAAGCTGGCTTTGGAAGAAGCCCTTAATAGGTTGATACTGGCATACCTTTCATTTCGTTTGAAAGTGGGTTTAAGGGATCCGTAAATTAGCCTCACTGCATACCGAAAGAGGGTCTCTGTACCTGTGACCTGGATTGTGCGAAGAAGACCTCTGCTCAACGTCCTGCGGACACGGGCCGTCTGTGCTGAGCTTTCGTCCGTCATTTAATAGACCTCGTCAGAGCCAGAAACTATTATTTACGAACAGTCAACAAATCCTAATTTTTCCCCTTAATACTCCGGGTATCTATCTAGCATATTCATTTACTTAAGGAAGTCTACCAGACTCATTTTGCCATGCTGCCGGATAGAACAGTGGTCATCCCTTTATCTGATTAATGGTTTCGGAAATACGAGTGCTCATTAAAGCCGGATCTCAAATAAGCAATGTAGTTATTTGCCAAATCTACAAACAAACACGATCCCATGGCTACAGAAATACATCATTGTCAAGACTGCCTAGTATTACCGGCGATTGTTCGTAAATGGTTTCTTGTTCTGTCTATGCCCTGTCACGGCTTTCTATTTTGCAGGAAACGTTGGTTGCAAGCAATTCATGAAATGGTCGCACACCAACCAACCTGTGCTAAACTTTCATCTGTACCACCCTGCCAGATATAATCAGAGCAAGAACCCAAATTCTAGTAACTAGAGCAAAAATATACTAAACCAAGACAAAATATGGCCGGCTGCAACTATTCGCTTTTTTATACACACTTCGCGAACTTAATGAAGCATTCCATGATTTGGTTGGCTACGTGACCTTACTCGACATGCTTGCGAATGGGTGAAGTTACTTCCTCAACAAGGAGTGCGTCCGGTGGCAGTTGCTTCCTTACTAGTGCACCAACCTCTAATGTTGAATTATTCTTGGGCGTGTGCTGTTCTTTATTGTGTACATTTAATGTTGGTATCATAGGAAATGTGATAGTCCTGGCAAGACTCGTTCTCTTTTTCAGTGGCTCTTCCCTCTCACTAAGCC